AAGACGAACGAAATGTTTTGTTTTGTATTGTTTTTTTTTTCAAAAATAAAAAACCCGTCGTGTGTGTGTACACGTTATTTTATACGCGTTTCGCGCCAATTTAAAATTTTAGCGTCATAAACAATCACATCGCGTTCGTACACTGCACATACCTTTTTTTCATACTGTTTTATTACGTACGCATAGAGCAGTGTGTCGACCGCAAAAACACGAAAAACGCTTTCCGAGTATATATTTTTAGAAGAGGCGTGTATTATTTTTATTACTCGCTTCTCTTCTTTTTTTTTCTCTCTCTCTCTTTTCGAGTACACCGTCAGCATCGTCGCTGATTCAAGGCGATATCACTCGCGTGTATGTATACAGAATGGAAACAAATGGTCTTCGAGGAACAAAGTAATAATTATACGTATAATATATTTATAAAAAAAAAAAAAAAATTAAAAAAATACACGATCGCGTCGCCATAACCCCAAAATAAGAGATACATCTGGTTGTTTTTTTTTTTTTAGATAAAAATCTAAAAACGCCGACGAACAACTAAAAATCTGGTTCTAAAAAAATAACGGTTTCCGCACAACAAACGCGTATAGGTGCGTAGTGAGAATGAAAAAGGAGTTTGTGTGGGAGGGGGGCTTTTTTTTTCTTTCGTTTTGTTTACTCAATGAAATTTAATCGGTATAATATTATACGGTGTACAATCAAACCCGTTTAATATTTGAACGTTTATGAATTATAATAATGTTATCGTACAGAGAATCGTTAGCTTTCACATTTACGCAGTTTTTTGAACACGTTATAATAATATATCGTCCCGATGGGGTGGGAGGGTAGGGGGAATTTAAAAAACAAACACCACGGCACAACTATCGCGGTGCATTGTTGTCGAATATTATCTTTTTCCCGCTACTTTTGTGTATTTTCTGGCCGTTGTAGCGGATCCCTCTGGACCGAAAGTGAACCGAAACTCGCAAATCGGAATATTATTTTTTGATACGGTGGATTGAAGTAACGCGAGTCTGGTCGAATTACAATATGAATGACACCGTACCGTTGACGGTGAAGGACGTTTAGTTTTCGCCGCATACCCCTACAGAATCGCCAAATGATAATCATACGGCTTGTAATCGTATAATCGTACAACACGTCTTTTCGGTAGACGAAACGTGCACCGTGGTGAATTTAGACGTATTCGTATTCGGCGTGACGCGCCGTAGCGTTCGCGTAACGCGCGTACGCCATTAGGAACATAAAGGGGAAAATTCGCATAAGACAAAATTGTAGAAAGAAAATAAAAAAATCGACTTAAACCCTTTTCTCCCGTGACCAAAGCTATAACCAAACGAAATACAACGGATGCAACGGAATAATGTCTGTATACAGTATCGTTAACTCGGGTGTACGATTTTGTTTATTCGGACGGGCGATCGTCGTCGCGTATATTTTCCGAACGACCGGAACGAACGGATGAAAAATCGTGCTCGGAAAAAAACGCGCACGGTTAATATTTCAAACGTACGCGTACCCGTAGATGCTATTTGAATATACAGCCGGTGGTGTACATTTCCAGCGAAATAATCGCGAGACATGCGTATAGGTATGCACGCAACAATCCATAACTAAAACGGAAAAATACAAATACGCGTCCGGGACCTCGGGCCGCGGTTCGCAATTAATAACGGGCAACAGCAGCGGCGGCAGCAGCAGCGGCGGCAGCAGCAGCAGCAGCAGAAGAAAAATACGAATACATTAAAAATAATATTACGAATATTACGAACTACGAGCGGCGTAGAAAGAGTTATGGCCGTAAATTCGTCGGGCGTAAATGAAAAACGTAAAAAAAAAAAAACGTTCGTTGGTCCTCCTCGCGTCGAACTATTTATTATAAACGCGGCCGCCATAACCAACTATATTTAATACGCGATACATATTATAGGAACGGGTACCGTGTTTAAAATAAAGAGATTTCACCGAGACCGGGATATGTATAGTTTAGTTACTATTGTTGTATAGTTAGGGTTTGAACGTTTAATTAAATAATAAAAAAAAAAAATTCAAGACACTGGACGGAACTCCATAACGTACAGATAAAAAGTTCTTCTGAAAGTTTCGTGACAGTTCGGTAGTTCTATAATCGATACGCGAATAGTACAGCTGCCCCCCCCCCCAGAAAAACGGTTTTCGCGATCGAATTACGCGGAGTATCGTCACGTCTACTTGAGCGAATCTGGATCTGAGTAAAATTACACGTATTTTGCATTGTTTATGCAAAATGACACTATAGTTACGATAATATAGACGGTGGCTATTTACTGTTTCCGGAAACAAAAAGTACTCCGCCCCTTCGGACGAACCTCAAATACGATCTTGAGCCCAAGTGACAAGGGCTCCGTAATTCAGTATGGGTCCGCCGGGAAAATTCTTATTGCCAGTTAGACCCGGCCACCGCTGAATGTAGATAATATGTGAAAATCGATAATATATGCGATAAATCGATCGAAACATCGTATCGCCAGATCACTAGGACCTGCAGCAACCATCGCAATGTTTTTACAAACATTTGGATACAGTCTTAAACTACAGGTCTACCTAATTGTCAATAATTGTGTCGACTTCAAAATAGCAAGTGTGTTCAGTAGCAGCGAAAAACGTTTTCGTCGCGAATTTCTCAACTCCAAAATGATACAAATATTTTATTCCAATACGGAATACCTCGCGGAGATGGGATTTTTTCTACAACGTTGCGATGCCGTTGTTTTTCCGCAGCACTTTCGTTTAATAATAAATTGTTTTTTTTTATTTTTTTTTTTTGAGTCAGCGTGCCATTTAAACGATGCGTTATCACGTATTTTAATTGTGGAAGCACAGAATCACATTGTTGGAATTACGAAAATTGTGAAATTTGGCCGATATATCCTTCCCTCGACTACAATCTTAGTATCGCCGAAAATTTCGTTTTCGAAATAGTTTTTACGAATCGATTCTTCTGAGATGTTCTTTAATTTTTGGAGAGAGAAAGAGAGCGAGAGAGCGAGAAAAAAATAGAAATCCACAATAGAGTTCACGAGAATAACATAATGCACCTATAACGATACGTCGGTGCACTATCTACACCGAGCATAAGATATTTTTCTTTCACTTTTAGTAGATTAATTTGAAAATCAGACTGCGGGTAGGTATGCAACTATACGCTTTTTGTACGCGCACAATTTCTACGACCCATCACACGCGTAGAAAAATAATAAATTTCATAAAACGGTACAGGATAATGTATGGGCAGGTATGTACATAATTTAACGAGTCACGAGTCCGACTTTTATAATCACGATAAATAAATTTATCACTATTATAAAAATGACGTCACGAAATAATAATATTTTATTATTATACCCGATAGTACCTCTACGGATTAACGATGATAAATCCGATACGATAAATAATTTAACATAATATTGACTTGTATACGATAATAATATAATTTAGTTTACACGTTTTCTTATTTATTTTTTTATTTTATTTTATTTTTTTTTTTTTACGAAATCATTACGCCACCCGTACGCTGTTGGCGTCGGAGAGGACCGTTCGGAATCAAATTATTTCCACGGTTACCTATGTACGGACGAAATCGTTTAATGGACACCTATGACGTGACAAAATTCAGTGTAATATATAATTTAGTTCTATGATATTGGAATTATAAGGTTATAATAATAAATTTCAGTATTTTACCGTCCCGGTTCGATACATAAAGTATACATATATGTAGAATCGTCGAATTACCGAACATGGCAATTCTACACAGTATCATTGAGCTATTTTTATTTCTTTTTTTCTCGTAAAACATCGTAAAATCTTCTTCTTTATTTTATAGCTATATAAGTCCGAAAACGCGAACGCAATAATCATTACCGGCGTATATTTTAACGCGCTTCGAATGCAAAATTAACATAATATTTAAGTAGGTACCAGGTACATTTAATAATAATAAATTGTAGAAATATATAGCTCCTTTTTCTTCTACCGGCATACATAGATGCTCTTAAAGAGTTTTCGTCTCCATGACCAGCTGCAGTGGCATAGAAAGAGGGGCCTTAAAGGGGCTATAGCTCCCCCCCATCCCGTGGGACTTGTATACTATTTTACGACTTGAGTACCACCTAAGTTTCTAGTTACGTGTTCCGCCTCGAAAAAACGTGTTTTACATTAAACCGTATTAAAAAACGTATTTGAAGAGAAGCAATGACGAAAATTGGACTCAATGAGTTAGCTAATATAAATTTAAAAACTGAAGAAATTAATGAAAATTATGTAATTATTAATATTAGTGTCTCTTCGTTCAAAATTGTCTGGTTAGAAGGAAGCTGCCAGAAGGGGGGATGTAAGATGTAAGTAAATAGTTACAATTTATTCCAAGACATTGCAAATATTATCTTATGTACAAAAATCACGCGTACAACGAGTTCACCTACGATGCACTCTGAAACTACTCGACCGAATTTGATAAGATAATTCTCAATGTGTGTGTATTGGTCCAACTTAAAATATATGATAGTCTTCATCTCGGTTAATGACCTAGAAGAGGATGAAATATTCTTTGGTATATTTGGTATGGAAATTAAATTTTTTTTTGTTGAATTATGTGTTACTCTGGTTACACGGATGAAATGAAAAACAATAAACAGTACACAGAAATAAAAATGCCATAAAAACTGTACAATGACTTAAAACAAAGAGTCTATCTGACTGCCTATCGGTCTATTATTGGCTTGAACTAGAATTAACCAACCTGATAACGTAGATGAAAAAAAAAAAAAAACAAAAAACTATGCGCTGTACGGGGTGAGTGAAGAGTGAAAACGCGTCATCTTCGAACCTTCGTATTTTTTGGTACAGTAACAACACTACGCTCCCTACACTACTATTACACAGTACACTTATGTCTTCATAAATTTTGCGTTTTTATAGTGGATATATTGTTCGATCCCTGCGCTGTGCGCATATCTATGGTAACGCGGATGAAAAACATTAGTTCACCACTGACCCGCATTCCACCTCCTTTCCGTTCAATGTACCGATACGGGCAAAGCAAAACGGGAACAAAGGTAAAAAGAATGAAAAATTGGCACGGGCAATGCGGAGCGCGAGACACCTGCAGTGTACATTATATATTTTTGTTTCGCTATTAAGTTTATTATGATATTTTATATTTTTAAATTGCCCAAAGTCACTAAAGTTATTAATGTTTACGTTAAAGGGCATGACGCTGGTCAGTTATCAGTTTCACCGTCTGATCGCACAGCCCCCTGATAAATTTCGTTCGCCGCGGTGTTCCCCGTTTTGCTTCATCGGCAACGAGACACATCCGATATATTTCACTGCATTTGAAAAATATTTATTGTAGATTGGCTGTATAAATCGACAGTAGATGCATTTGTTTCACGAGCGTTTTCTGATTTCTAATACCACAAACGGCAACTGGGTATTATTTAATCGAGAATATTTATAGTTAACGTGTTGTTCAGCGTGCCGTACGCCAAATAACATAATATAACACACACAGATGCACATTGCACAATGTGCATAGTCTATGTCATCATGCCAACACCGTAACAGAGATTTTGAATAAAAACTGTAATCGTTTAACAACCTCTGAATCGTATTGGCATTTGGATACGTTCTATGGCGTTTATATTCTAGAACAATCACCGATCGAATTTCGACCGTGTCTCAGAAATTGGGTTTGTCTAATACGATGACATTGAAATATTGGGCAGAATCGAAAATACGGCCGAGCGTAAATGAAACATATGAGATTTTATAGATTCTGAACGTAACTCGAAATTCATTTTGATCAAAATATCGGACCCTCGTAAAACGTACAGGTAGGTACGTTATATTACTATACATTATCGAGATGTGTTTATGGCACAACGCAAATATGCCTGGCGATTCTTCTATCGTGAATCATTCGGTGACTATCTGTTGTATCCATTCGATCCATCTAGTTTACGATTTTGAGTAAATTGAAATTTGATTATTTTTTTCAATCATTCAGATTCGAAAATTTAACGTTTTTACTTTTCTGAAATACTCGAAACACATCTTTAATACCGCTTTTACACCGCCACGTTTATGAGTTAGAATAATACCTATATGCGACATTATTATCAAAGAGAAATATTGGAAATTAGATCTTGTGTAACGTTTAAATAGAATGCACGATGTGTACAACGACGAAAAATTATAAAAATACTCAATACCTTCGCATCACAAATGGTTTACGATAAAAGAATCGCTCTGTATTTGTAAAATCGTGGATCATCATCGATAAAAACAAGCTTTATATTATCATTGTTATTTCTCGACCATATATAATGGGTATTCCTAAAAATTGAAAATTTTCACGAGTAGAAATCCGATTTAGTCCTCAAATTCTGAAGTATTAATTGTATTTTCTCAATCAAACTGTTTAGCGAGAAACATTTGTATTTTTTCGGGTCCTCCCCGCAATACAGCTGTTCAGTAAAAATGAAAATAATCCAATATTTATTAAAGAATTTGTTTATGATAAAACTAATTCGTGTTTTTAAACATACCTCCCTGGACTTTGAAAACTTAAACCAAAGATGATTTTACCTTAAACAAAAAAAAAAAGCTACTCCGACCCTCCTCGTCCCCTCACTTTATCCACCGAACATATGCTGCGAAATTATATAAGGCGATTTGTCTCCGATACGGTCCGGAAAATTAAAAACAAATTGCACACTCCGACGGTGATATTTGTGTAATAATATAATAATTGTGTTTTTATAGTTTATCATATCGGCTATCGACTCCCATGCGATTAACCTGACTTCAAAATCGACTTTACATTGTTTGTCGGACATGGCTGCTAGTAAGTAAATCAAGTCAAATGAAATGGTTTATTTTAAAGAACGATTTTATTTTACATACCAATAAAAACGGACGAAAAAGGTAAACCCGGACTACTTGAAAAAGTCTTTGAATACATTATTGAGACTATATATTAATATGTATTTTGTATTTGTTCTGGAACGATTTGGAATATTAACTTGGTTTTTTAGAGAACAACTAAATGTCCATAATTTATAATAATTATTATTATTGCTGCATCAGAAATCCGTCCCAATAATCTTTTTTTAAATCAATTTCGTCCTGGTTATACGATATTACAATATTAGTACATTTTCATAATTTAAGACATCGTCATAGTTTAATCGTTCATAAATATATTCATAAGAAGTAATGAAGAATAATAATTTATGTAAATATTGTTATTATCAATGCAATATGATGTTCAAATGTATGTACATAAATATTAAAGATAAACACTTCATTAAATATTGAATAGTCAAAATAAATAAATTTTAAAAAGGACGGACATGCTTCGCAATAGCCACTGTTGTATGTTGAAAGTGGAGAAGGTAGGATACAGACGAGAATTTAATGTATATCATTAAGCAACGATAAACCGTCGCTAACGAAAAACGATTCTGAGCGGAGTTAAGTTGATAGTGTTGCTCTATGAACAATATATATTATGTCATATTATGGTAAAATGATTACAACAATGTGCGTTTCCATGAAAACAATGATTGTTTAAAAAATAATTTGAAACAATACAAACTTAATAATAATAAAAAATAAATAAAAACGGTTGTCAGCGACAACCTTATTTTTAATCTTTCAAATTTTTTTTCAATTTAAAGAACCAGGTTTTCCTCATTATCTCGAATATTAATGAGAATTTCAAAAAGAGACTTCTTTAAAGTACCATCCAGAGAACATTTTTTTTCCAGATACGATGCTAAACTTGATAATCGGAGTAAGCTTTCTGGTAGAAAAATTTTTCACATAAGAAAAAAAAGAAAGAAAAATAAACATTTTTGTAAAACGAATACATTCTTTGCTACACTCAGAATTTAAAGTCGGCTATAATAATGTCTTTGAATTATTATTTGCCAGTATAATAAAAACGGCTTGTTTTGTGACAAATTCAAAACGACTTTTCGTGTTTAGAAACAAAAATGTTTTACATAAATAAATAATAATAATACAAATTAGGTATACATGTTCAACATACGTATTGGAATATGTTTCGAGTATAAAAATTATTCTAATGTTTTACATGGCAATTTATTATTATTGAAACTGTAAAAGTAGCAACAAAAATACACGTGCCAATTTAGAAGACGAAAAACCGTTTAAATTTCATAAAATTGTTAAGATTTTTTTTTAAACCGGTAGTGTACCTGCACGTGACAACTATAATGGAAAACGCTTAGTTTATAATAATTTTAAATATTAAAAAAAAAATCAATGAAAATGTTGTTTAGGCGTACGTATCGTATTATAATATTCTATGTCTTGTTTTTATCGTATTTTTTTTTCTTCTTAGACTCATTTTACTTAGACGAAGTTCAAGAATACTTGGATTATATCAGAACCATTGGAATGGAAGCTTGGATACCCGACTCCCCGGGATACGGTCCGAAAATACCCGTACCGGATCAATGCCGATTCGGCGTGCTCTGTTTGAACTATAAAGGATCGGACATCTATAGTCAGTATATATTCGTATATAGTTACTAATATTATAAAATAATTGTTCTTGGCCACGGCATAATGATATTATTACGACGTATAGTTAATTAATGTAATTGTTTCTGTATGTATATTATAGTCCGGAGCAATTCTCATCGTGCGATGAACTTGGCGGTCGTGCCGGGTTCAACGTACTCGAGTGAAAACCGTCGCCGGAGCGTTCGTCAAAATCCCGTCGGAATCGCCGTCGTGGACTACGGTTACGAATCGGTACACGAGATAAAGACAAAAATGCACATTTTGATAACCGATTTGATATAAAAAAAAAACGCCGGTTCTAAACCCTCGATCCTTCGCCTTGTGGCACAAGCACCGGCGTCAGCCCCGCGCAGGGGTATAGAGACGAGGGTTTAGAGAGAGGGTTTAGAACAGGCTTTTTCATTTTTTTTTTTTTTTTTGCATACTGCTCAATAAGAATTATTATTATTTTATTACACTATATCCAGAGAAATCGGTTTTTTGTCGTTGACCGCGAGGAAAATTATGGAATTACAGAAAGAGTGCCCTCGAAACGATCCGTCGGTGTTCAGTGCGGTGACGGCTTGATCCGCTATAACGGTAATCATTTTTATTATTCGCTTATGAGCCATCGCGACGACTGCAACGGATCGACCAGGACGTGTACGGCGGGATACGACGGAAATTCCGTTATCACCGATAGTGTGAGTATGTAACACATCTGTATTATATACGCATGTTGTGATAACGTTTGCCCCGTTTGAGTATAACAGCATGTTAAATCGTCGCTTGTGTATTCCCGAGGCGACAACACGTACGTGCTAGAAAAAATGGTCATTGGCCATAAGCTGGCCATTTCGAACCGTCGTTCAGCTGTACTGTCTAATTTTTTAAATTTAAACTGCGTAAATGCTTGTGAAAGTTGAAAGCCCCAACAGGTACACCGTTGATGCCTAACGCCCTACAAAATTTCATCCCCTCGGTTTCATTTTGGGTGAGGTCTGTAGCCCTGTAGGGGTGTTCGAAGCCCGAAAAACTCCTTCCTCCCGCAACAACATAATGCGAAAATTCATATTAAAATTCAATTCAACTTTTGCCAATTTAATCTACCTAAAAAGAAATGTATATATGTATTGTCTTTCTCGAGTTTGAGAGCGTTTCTGGTCCAGGGGGGGCTGTTAAAAGTGTGTAATACGTGTGTGTATAACAGACACAATAGACTACATTGAAATGCAGACTGTTATTGTTTGCAGTTTCCGGTAAAGTTCGACAATAATCTATAATAATAAAACACTATTCTATAACCGCTAAGGCACTTTTATAGAATATATACAAAAAAAAAAAAAATTAGTGTTGATAAAACCAAAACGATTACGTGTTTCGAGACGAAACGATTACTCGAGCGTACTTTTGAAGAAAACGGTCAAAATCAGAGGGCCATTAACCTAACCTAACCCTGAATGGCTGCACAATGCACATAAACTGTAAACTAAGTAATAACACGTGCACTACGATTTCGCAGAGGTCTTATTCTATTCCGGAAACGGGCGTACATTATAAACGGATCGTAAACGACAAACTGACGAAAGAGGTGAGGGTCGCCAAAATTTACGTGTCGACGTTGCCCATCTCCGGGGAAAATCGCCGTGACCATCATCGTCATCATCAGTATCGCGTTAATAATATGTCACCGTCGGACCATACGGATTTCAAAAACCGTCGAATACAATCAGAAATGGTCAGATTGAATTCCAAAGGTGTCGTGCGAAAATTGATCGAACGTTTCGACGTTTTCAATCGGGATCAGGATAAAAACTGATATGAAAACACGCACACCACCACGTTTCGAATATTTATATTTGCTGACACTCTTTTACTTTTATATACGTGCCTAATTATATGCCTCGAGTATTTCGAGTATTTATCGGCACCTACCCGTCGAATCCATACGCAACATGTTTTCTTTTTTAATTAAAACTATATAAAAATATACAATACGAATTTGTATTGATTTAATGTATTGCAGTATTCGCGATCAACGAGGGTTGTTATGTTGTGATTAAATTGTTTAAGTCAAAACTTCTCTTTGGACAACCAAAGGAACGCCTGAGGAAAAAAGTTCTTTTTTTGAAAGAAGACACTGAAAAAGAAGTATTTGTTGTGTTGAAATTCGGATGACAAGGATGACGACTTTCATATTCATATTTTTAATGATTACCTACATACCTACATGTTTTATTATTATTAAATAGGTACATACTTTTGAGCATTTTTTTCGTCTGAGAATATAATGTATGCACAGTTTTTTTTTTTTAGAAGGGGATATGAATTGCAGTCATATTGTCACGTAAAATAAACTAAAATCTCTATCTACAATTCTCATATGTTTTAGTACAAGTCATAGGTTTACCAAATGTCTCCTTCATTAACCTAATAGATAGAAGATACCCTTTGAATATCTCCGGAAATAATAAAAATAATCAAATTATTTTTTTAAACTTTTTATCTTACGGATAATTAATAGCCGCTTAATATTCTACTAATCCGTGTGAACACCGATGTTATCGCGTAACGCAATTAGGTTATTCCAAAGATAACATCGGTTTTCACACTTGGAAACTATTCATCGGATATAAATGTGTGATCCATTAACATTTTCAGGAAAATAAACTCTACGAAATGGCTATCTTATAATTTTCCGGAAATAATAAAACAAAGTTTATTTTTTTATTTTTGTACTGATAAAAAAAAATATAAATATTTGTAGTCTTCATCCCTGTGAATAATATATATATATATATAAAAAAAAAAGAATTTAATTATCTTTATTATCTCCGGAGATATTCAAGAGATATGTCTTCGTGGCAGCCTGTATTTCGTACAAACTACTTTTTAGACTCGACAACAACTGCTGTTTTAATATACTATGTTGTAATATTATCATGAAATTATAAAACCGAGTAAATCTGTCTAGTAATTTTAGCAATTTCATCAAGGGTTTATAAACACTACTCTATAATACGAACACTTAAAACGACGGACATATTTCACACGATGGGTGGGCTAGTGGTTACAGGTGAGAAGTTGTGAAGGCAGGGTATAGAGGGAAATTTAATGTACCGAGCGATTCATTTATGTGGGTACACTCATTATCTCGGAAAGTATTAACTTTTTCCGTAATTTGTTTTCTAGAACATTTAAAAAACAAGCTGCTCTACAATTTTATATTTATGTTAATTTTGGTCACCCATATTTTCGGGGGTAAAACCACTACCTAATCTTGATTTTCAAACGGCAGCCTATATTAAAAGGTCCATAAATAGATGGAGTATCGGTTAAAATAAATTTTAGTGTTGACATTTTTGATTTCCGTTGACGAGATATTCCAATTTTAATTTCAGGTTGGAGGAGAGTAGTGGTGCAATATAACCGTACCGCCACACAAATGATACTCCACTGCTCTCCACCAACCAAAACTTAAAAGTGGAATATCTCGTCATCGACGTATTGAATATTTTGCACCAAAATATAATGCATTTCAATAAAACTGCAGACGATGAGTACAGAAAGTCCATTTATAAATTCGACATTTCACGCCCCCCGTTAGCACTCCCATGATACTGCGGGTGTGCTGATTTGTTTATTAGGTTTTATTAGTTTCATCGTAAAATTGTAATGTTTATTTTTGTAGGAGAATGCTTTTTTTTCTTTTTATTACGGTTTATTGGAATTCGCCAATAAACAGTAACCATAAGCTGTGCAGGCTAGGTAACACTCGGAAACTCTTAAACCGGCCACAAAATATGTCATAACGCACATATTACGAACGTACGTAGTGGTGGATTCGGTAGAATATTCAAACGGCACGGCACGGTAATACATAAACAATTTTATTTCTCCATATTATTCCGCGTCGAGGTGTACGCATGAATAATACACGCTAAGAAAAAAAAAACAAAAAAAAAAAAAAGATAATATAAAATAATACGATATTTATACCGCACAACGACGACGATGATCGCCCGTCATTGGCATTCCCGACCAATAGAAATCGACGGCGACACGACAGTAACATTGCGCATTTTGTTCACGCGTTAAATTTTCGAACGTCGCGGTCGTTAAATTCGTATAATCGACCGATTTGAATGTATTTCTAGTACGGCGCACTTTTGCGACAGCACCAGACAGCACATGATCATATTGTTATACGCGCGCACAGTACGCGTTGCGACGACCTAGTGGCGGTTTCCACGTCCGCGATGACGTTGTATTATACGCGGACAACACACGTTTCGCGGGATGTTTTTTTTTTTCTCTGCGTACAGTGCGATTGTTTTATCGCGAACTATACTACGGTGCGCGTGGAACTCGCGGTGACTGGCGAAAAGTGTCTGTAACGGTTGCCGCAATACGCGATTCAGCTCTTTGCGAACTCCCGAGATTCTCTGGTTCGTGCATAATCCCAACGATTGTCTATCGATTAGATACACGGGAAACGAGGACTACCGCGGACACGGCAAATACATTTGGACGGCGCCGTGACCGGAGAGCCAAAGACTTTGACGCATTAACAAATGCGTGCGGGCCCCTCTTGCTTGAGCGTCATAAAATTAATACTCGAAAAAGACCGACTCGCCGCTTCACACCGATAGGTGTTCTTCAGTCCTATTAGACAGAACACTCGCGGTGCGCGTGTTGAATTTTTAAAGATTCGATAAATAATTTATCATTGAAACAATACTGTGTGGAGGAGCCTCAATGTAATATACAGGATTGCAGTTTTCGACCGCGTACATTTAATCAATAATAAAAAAAAAAAAAAAAACCTGTGGAATAAACTACCTGCGTGATAAAATAGTTATTTGATGTTTAAAATGATCGCGTATTAAAATCAAAAAAATCGTAACTACGGGACTTTAAGCTGAGTAATTTTCTCGGTATTTAGATAAATAATTTCAAATCGAAACAAATAGGGTATTTACATTTTCATTGTATGTCATTGAATACAAGATAATAATACTGCAATTATTATTACGAATTAAATTAACGTGCAAAAAAAAAAACAAAACATTTATTGACGATTATGGGCCGCTATACCCGACGGGCCTCAGTCCTGTGCACCGCCTGCACCCACGATTTTTATTGTCCTGCCATTAGGAGCTATTCAAAACAAGTTTCTGGGGTTTCTTACTTTTCGTTTTTATTTAAACGGAAAAAGACATTCTGGATGATGTTTTTAATTTTTTGAGTATATTCACATTAAAACAATAAAAATAATTTGTATGATTATAATATTTTTATTTAAATTGTTTAATAATTTTATTATCTGTCCTGAATTACTATAAAATATAAATTTTAAAACAAGTCGAAAAATTTGTTTTTTTTTTTATTGAATATTTCGTTAAATTATACTATGTTACTTTTATAGTAAATAATTTACCTGTGATTTTTTTATTTTTGCTGTAAATAAATAATAACGATTATCATCTATACGAAAATGCTGAATATGAATATAAAAAATTAATTGATTTACCTAAAGTTTTGAAACACGGATTCAAACAGACGAAACGAAAACCTTCCGTCTAGTCCCCTCCCTCCCCGTCTGTGAAATTTGTCGAGATAACCTTAGATAAAGTATAAAATTCCAGTGTAAAAACGGTTCCTTCCTCAAAGAGAAATCGAAATTTAAAAAGCAGGCTTTGGGGTTTCGTCGGACTATCCTATTTGTTCGACTAAACGTTTAAAATTCCAGATCTCTACGAAATCTCAATGAAATCTATATGATAAATATAGATTTGTCTAAAAAAAATTTAGTGTTGGGAATCTACAGAAAAACGGTTCAAATAAAGTTTATACTCGTGGCTTGGATAGTATTTCCGATAATAAATATTTCATACAACTGTATCTTGCACCTTGTATCGCAATACGGTTCTGGAACGTACCGATTATTTTGTATTGCAACACATAAATCAATGCGATACTCATTTTGAAGTATCTTGCCCGGGGGCGCTCGGAGGAGGGGCCGAATGGAAAATTCCGCCCTCTGGCTTTCACGAAAAATACATTATTTAATACGTTTCAATAGTGATTGCGCATATTGTTGGGAATTTCGAAAAATGTTTCGAATAAATAATCGCCGCATCTTTTAATACGTATAAAGAGACTGCGCATTCGTGAAAAATTAAATTGATATTATTTTAATTTTAAAACAATATTATATAGTGTTTTTAAACACGTAAAATTTAAGTATATATCGTGCCAACTGACAATTGATGCTGAGCACCAAATCCGGATTACGAATAAATTTTGTGTCGCATTCCACATACTGTGTATATTATCAATCATCGAATATCAATTTGTACCTTTATTACTGAACATTTAGTCACAGGCATTCTCAGTTCTCACTGTTCAGTAATTATTATTATTTGAACTGAAAATGTCTCAAATTTGGACAAGTTTTACCAAAGGTATTGAAGAGCACAACAAACATTTGTCAACGTGCAACGTCTACGGACAAAAATTCAAAACTTCAGGCAGCACAGGTAACTATAATAACATCATCGATTGTTGATAGATCCGTGATCGTACATTCTGTACACACTATCGATAATAGTGCAAAACTAGCAATTTATCTCAAAAACAGTGTGGCCGGATCGAATCTGAAATCGAGATCTACTGATTGGATCCGAAATCCGGACTGTGAATTTGTAATCCGGATTCAGGATCGGTCAACGTATTGCTCAGTACTAATATCAACGAGTGTGAAAATCAATGTATCTAGATCTAGTATCGTGTATCTGGGTTTTGATTTGTGTCCGTGATACCGCGCCCCGCGGTTTAAACGAAGTAACAAATAAAAATACGCACGCTTTAACGGGTGTTACACGGTGTGAAAGTAGTTTTTTTAGTGAGAATGTTCGCTGTATAATACGTGATCGAAAAAATGGCCATCACATACCTACGCGAAAATGCAGATTCGTAAAACGATACCGCAACATGCGGTACGTATTGCCGCGAGTCAAACGCTCCGCTCGCTCGCTTGCGCGCGCGCAATACATCCTTCCGATTTTCACGGAACAAATTCGAAATTATTATTATGTTATTATTATACGTGTACGGTGTGCATACGAGCTGGTGATGTCCGACGACGAGATTATTGTATTAGGTACACTGTCGACGACGAAAACGGAATAAAATATTAAAAACCCCACGAGCGCCACATATCTATTATATTACAATATTATAATATAATACGCAATAGTTTAATAACTACACGCGAGACGCGCCATATGTTATCAATTACGCGTCTAGTATTAGAATATAAAAAAAAAAAAATACATAATAACGTTTATTAGCGTATACGTACGCCGTACAGCATCACAAGAAAAAAACGCGTGTACCATTATATACGTGCCTATATACGTTACTATAAATCCGTACGCGTTTTCGTATTATAATAGCGGTAATTATTCATCACCGTCCCCCCGAGAGACCGCATGCGCTGCAGTGCGTCTATGCACGGAGTTTATCCGTGACAGGACGAACGAAATTCGATCGTTTATCACTACGTTGATGGCGCGGGTATCCTAGAGGAAAAATAAAACCGCGCCGATCAGAGTACGCCGTGGCGAAAATTATCGGCATTGATTGGCGCCCGGATTCAAACGCCCCGTACGGAAAAAATTGTGAAACGTCACAGAACATTATGAGAGTTTTATTGATATTATAAAACGAATTGTGCGCGACGGGTCCGAGCGGGTTAGATATAAACCGGGGCAATCGACAACTGTATAACGTATATGGAGAGAGAATATATATAGAGAGAGAGAGACACTTGGAAAGTCGTTTAGGTAAACGGAAAAAGATATATTTATTTTTCGTCACCTTCGTGAGTATGTTCACAGATATCCATCTGTTATTTACGTATCGTTGGTAATTTTTTGGGGAGTAAATTGTGTGTACATATTGCGGCAATACGTGTATGAGCCCCCCAGGAACGAATACTTGCGGTGACCCGGGGTACCCGCCGTCGGTGGTGATGGACATTTTTAAACTGTATCACACGTGAACAGTGTCGGTGAACATCCGATAGTATATTTTGTATAAAGCTACGGCGTGACGGACATTTAGGAAAAGATAAGGAGACTAAATGGCTTTCCCGAGGGTGATGTGTACAGGCAATGTTTTGAGAACAACTGAATAATGGGTGTATGCGGGCCTGGGTGTATCGCAGTATAAATAACGAACCGTTACTAAAACTAAAAGGGGATATTACAAAGAATTCAAACGAGAATCGATAGGTACCGACCGTCTCAATGTATGTGAATTGAGCGAGACATTTTCGGGCCGGTGCCCACGACGGCGATCCGTCGGGTTCCTATGTTTTGAGCGGCCATCTCGTTGGGTTTGGACGTCGGCAGGGGAAAAAAGAAAAACGAAAAAAACAGCGCTGCGTGCGAGATTTCGCGATTGTGCGATTGAAGAGGGTATTACACGGATTGTGACGGCCGGTGTTTACAGGATCGTTGAAATTAAAATTCGTATAGTTGACTATCTCTATGCGTGCACGGTGATGGCCGAAGATTGGGTCGGCGAGACGCGAACGACGGCGGGCGGCGACAGTTCGAACTAGGCGCGTTGACACTGCCGCGGATGTCGTTGGCTGCGGACCGGCAACGGCCGCGGGCGGGGGGAGGCCGCTCGCGAAACGCGCGGACGAGCAGTTCGCGGGCTTTACTCCGAATCGAAACCGCGGCGGTTTAAAACGGGACGTTACAGACTCGCGCCGAAAATGACCTCGAACCGGCGAATGGCCGAACGGCGCCGATCGCGGGTTACCGGGCTGGGAGCTCAGCGGCCGCTCGTGCTACGGCGCACGGGAGCGATGCATCGCCCGCAATTTTCGAAAAACCACGCGTCGTTATAACACCGCGGTACGCAAACATATTATTTAATTATCACGGTACACGTATTATATGTTGCGAACTGGAAATTCGTTCGTGTTTGTTTGAGAGACGAGAATGGGAAATTATTTTGTGGAACCAAAGAAATATTGAACGCGATGGTCGAGTAAAACGCGCAGCCGTCTGCCGCTGCTGACGGAGAACGCCGTGCGTTGGGAACCGATTATTTCTTTTGGATAATATTGAGTTTGTCCGGCGGGCGACGTTATCTCCTCCGAAAATACTCGATAGACAATTCTGACCGGGCCCGGTTTACGTTCAATTCCCTAAGCAATATTGTTTAATGCAATGTAACAAAAGCGAACACACGTTAATTCCCTTATATATTGCGGATTTCTAAGAACCTCCTATAAATATTTATATATATATACAAAAAATACAAATATATTCGTATTTCAATGAAATATCTGTTTTCGACTGTACTTATTGTATACAATTATTTAAATGTGCACCGCCAATTATTTATTCTAGCCACCGCTAGAACTTCATTACGCGACCCAGTGATTCCTAAACTTTCTCGTTTCTCGTCTCGCGGTTCCCTTTTGCACTAAAGTTTTCCCAAGGCCGCCCTTGCAATTCGATACGATCGAAAATATATTGTTATC